AATTTCCGTGCAGAATAGATGGGATTTCTTCTTGTTGATGTAAAGCTTGGCCGCTCGTAAGGCTGACAGGACTTCCTGTACGTTGCGGACATGTTCTTCGAGGGTCTGGGACCATATGACGATGTCGTCAAGGTAGATGTGGCAGATCCTGCCGATGCATTCCCGGAGTGCATGGGTGACTCGGCGTTGGTGGATTGCAGGTGCGTTACGAAGTCCCATGGGCATCACTGTCCATTCGTACAATCCGAAGGGGGTCGTTACTGCAGTCAGGTGTATGTGGTCCGGGTGCATGGGCGTCTGGAAGAACGAGTTTGTCATGTCGATCTGCACGAAGAACACACCTTTCGAGCAATCTGCCAAGATGTCATCCTGGCGCGGAATAGGATGGCTGTCTTCGACGGTGTTCGCATTGAGGTCACGGTAGTCGTTTACCCAACGAGGGAGCGCGGTTGGATCTGCCTTGGGGATAATAAAGGCAGGGGATGCATAGCGTGAGGAAGAGGGTCTGATGCGGCCCGCGTCTAAGTGTTGTTTAATCAAGGTTTGCCACGATCCCTTGTATTTTCTAGGGCAGGCGTACGTCCGACTTTTGACGTTCTTCGTAGCGTCTTTCAAGTGAATTTCTGAGAGAAATTCCGTAGGCAGTTCGTCTACATGCGGAATCGGTTTAAATACATCGAGGAATTCCTCTTTCAGGAGACGCTCGTGTTCCTGCATCTTTTGCAGCAGCGTCTCCCAGTTAGCCAGTATTTCTACTCGCTCTTTTACCGCAGCTACTGCATGGGCGCACAATTCACCTGAAGGTTCGTCTGGCACAGTGATTCTTTCTCGTATGACCGTGCATAATTCTGCGAGCGTCGTCTTCTTGATCAACTTGACTTTCTCCACCTCTTTATCAAACTCTCTGCGCTTTTGTTTCGGTGATAACGGCTTTGGTTTGTGAGGTGGCAAGGGGTCTGGGTTCATTAAGTTATAACCCGTTTTTTTGTCAATGCAGGAACGGTTTGCGTGGTCGGTGACAATGTCATTATGTATTAAGAACGGCAAACCTAGTATAATCGGCATACAGAGTCCCGGGGCGATGATGGCGTGAACAGTGCGTGATGTCCAACAACCATCCAGTGATGTTACAGTAATTTTTACAAACTCATCTAATTCAATTTTCCTCTTTTCTTTCAAGCTTTTGATAGCGACGTCGACGGTTTCGGGTACGGGAAGCTTCAGACGTTCTAGGCCAAGTGAATCTACTAGCTCGGGGCGGATGAGCACCAAGTGCGCCCCATTGTCTATGAGGGTGGACACTTTCACTGGAAATTCAGCCCGAGGGCCCGTCAGTGTCGCTCGCCACACGATGTGCTTTGAACGGAACGGCGGACTCACATCACTGTCACCGTGCTCCACCTCGGAATGGGTGCCGTTTCCGAGTGCGGAGCTCATGGTGGCTGCAACCGCGTCATCCTCGTCGTCGGACTTGTTCACGTCGGTGACGGCAGCTACTGTCTTTGCTTTTCCTTTCTTTTCCATGTAGGCGTTGTATTTCGGGTGCTTCTGAACATCGCTGAGCGTGAGGGTGTGGTACCCGTTGCCGGGCAGAAATTCGTTTGGGCAGGAGCATGTGCCGTGGTATGCAAAAAATTGATGGCACTTCCAGCAGCCCTCGTATTCTTCGAGGAGGTCTTTCTCCGACTGCTCCAGCTTCGGTAGCTTCTTCCATTTGCCTCCGGTCTGCGCACGTCCAGTCGAGGTGGATGCCTTGTTGGAGGAGGATCGGGGCGCTGTGTTCCCTGTGTTTCCTGACAGGGCGACACGCTTCGAACTGCGTTGGTCCTCCTCAAAGGCGTCCCTGTACCTCTTCCGGTCGTACGCGTACTCTTCGTCCAAGTTCTTAACGGCTTTGATCCAGTCTTTTAACATGGTCTTCGTGTTAATTCCCTTTCGGGCGGCGGCTTTACGGAGTTCGGCATCCATCAGTCCTTCGAGCTGCTGGCGTAATTGGTCGTCGTTGAAGTGAGACGTCGTTCCTCGTAAGAGGATGTTGACTGCCTTCATCTTCTGTGTCCAGGCCCAAAACGGCTCGTTCTTCTGCTGGCGGTTGCCCAAGATTTCATTGCGTACGTTCTCGATCCAGTCGGTGGGCAGGTAATTCGCTCGCAGTTCCTTCATGAACGTGTTGTAAGTGAGACCGAGGAGACGTTCACGGTCAGATGCGATCCAGTCACGGATGTGCAAGTCCTTGAAGGTGGACAAGATGAGTGGTACCTTTTCTTCTTCTGCAATTGTCTTGGAACGGCCACACGCGGTGAAGAAGTCTTGAAAGGCATTGTCCAGCTCCATTGCGGCCTTTGGGGATAACTCGCCGGCAGTCAGAACAGGGCAGTGTTTGACTACTGGATGTTCCACAGTCGCTTCTTTGTTGGGCGCCATCACGGTACGGTTGTATGCGGTTTTTGAGTGAATGTATGCGGTCAAGATTTCGGAATCAGAGTCAGACTCCCAACTGCGCACAGAGATGTCTAGTCGTTCGTGGGTGGGGCCCACAAGTGTAGAATCAGTTTCTGCCGACTCTGACAGTTGAAGCGGAGGGGGCGGAGGGGGCGGATGTGTCACGGAGGGTGTCAACAGATGCAGTGAGTGTTCCTCTAGCGAGGTCAGGGGAGACAGTGGTGACGGAGAACGTTGGCGGGAAGCGTCCTGTTTGGGCGTTTCTACTGGCGGTATCGGCAAGTCAACAGTCACGGCAGGTGCTTTTGAGTGGCTTCTAAGCGTAGGCGCCAGTTCGTCGTGTGGGGATACGCTCGGAGATACAGCGGGAGCGGAAAGACCAAGGTCTTCAGCGGAGACAGCAAGGACGGTTGTCGCGAAGTTCGGCAAATGTATGCGTCACTATCGCTCGGTAATCAGCAACGGTACGGCAGCGGCACAGATAATGGTAAGGGAAATGTACACGCAAGGTGGACATTCAAAAAAAAGTGTAAATCTATCCTACAGGGTAGGTAGCAAACACTCACATCAAACGGTAGAATGAGACCAGCGTGTATACGTCGAGTAGAGAACAGAGAGGTACAAGATCAGAGAGTACTCTATCTAAAAGGAATGTCCGTCGCGTGAATAAATAGGGCATGGTCGATCAGTAAATACGCATCAATAGCGCGTGTCAGCATCACATGTGATCCATCAGGATTACACCAGATCTTTGAAGCTCTCATTCTCAGCTTCTTTGAAGCCTGCCAGTGATAAAAGTTGTGTCTTGATCAGACCGCCATCAAGACCCTTTCAGTGGTGTCATTACATACCCATAATTTCTGCAAAATCCTCGCATCTTGGTGCTCCCGGTGAGGAGTATATCGAAGTAATGATGAGGTTTAATTGCCAATCGTCCATTTCTTGCCTTGGTGTGGAATGTCAGAAAGAGAGGATGCTGTTTCGGGAGAAAACACAGGGATGCGGCAGCAATCGCATGTGGTGGGTTCTGCCATGAGCCATTATCAATGAAGCCGCATCAAATTTACATAGTACTTAACAGTAGCATTCCGATACAGGATTTGCACACAAAGAACATTTCAGCTATCCCTTTGGCGTGTTAAAAGGCTGTACTAATGGAGTGTCAATGTATTGAGGAGGTGGAGACTCTGGAGAAAGGTTTCAAGTATACAAATTTAGCTGCCAAAGTGTTTATTTACCAGTTATGTATTTACAAACATTTTTTTGATCTAAGTACTCACTGCCACCAAAAGTGATTTCAGCCTGGGGTTCTCATGGTTTGGGATAGCATTGAATCATGAAAATATTCTCCATATCTCAAATGTACTAGGCTAGTAGAACGGTGCTCTCAGAATGCAGGATGTCCATCCCAGAGGTGAGAAAATGCGAAATTTATGCTTGAGCAATTTTTTCACATCTTCAAGGAAGGTTGTAAAAAATCTATAAAATGCATGTATATGTAGATATACTTAGGGAGAGTATATACAAGCTAAAATGGAAAAGATCAAAGCCATGGTTAAGGGGATATGAGGCCAGCAAGTTGAGGTAATTTGCATGAAAACCCCTAAAAATGCGGAAAATGACCATGTTTTGGCATTTATATCTTGGGAATGACTTAACAATTGAACACAATTAAACTTGTTTGGATGTTTGGTGACATAGAAGTACCCCTCATAAAATAATGAAGGTCAGAGGATTTTTTCCTCAGGTGCTGTACTTCATGCATTTTGGTGAAAATGTTGTTTTTAATGATCTCAACAAGGTTTTGCTAATCTCTAAGCACCTTGAAAGTGTAGCCTACGAGGATGTTAAGAATATAAAATAATCCTTGAAGCATGTCGACAAAGTCCTGAGCTATGGCCAAAATAATGGCTGAAATCACTTTTGATGGGAGCGAGTATGTATGGCTGGCATTTATGGCAGCCCAACAAACATACACTGGTGTGGGAACCGACTTTATGTGCGGTCAAAAAGGCGTGATAGGGGTGTTAAACTTTATATACACGATTTTTCTGTGTCAATAAAGTTCAAATAAAGTTACAATAAAATCTTCCTTTCCCATGGTCATAATTTTCTGAAAATTGTTACCTTTGAGGTAATTAGTAATGACTAAATTTACCTGTCCTTTTGTTGCTCTGGAAAAGACAATAAAAGCGTGGAATTTGGGACGACAAAAAGGATTGACATAAAGGATTTGGGGATACTATAAAAGGAAAGCCTGAACCCTTTATATAAGCACTTTCTGCTCATCTATAATTGTCAGGTAATTGATGCCTTTAATTGTGAACAAAAATTAATATAAACAGCTCAGGCTTTCCTTTTATAGTATCCCCGAATCCTTTATGTCAATCCTTTTTGTCGTCCCAAATAAGGTAGAGGCCATCAGGAACCAGCTAGCTTATATAATTGTATTATATAAGCGCCAAGGGTGGCAAAATCTTGCTCTCGAAAATTTTCAAAAATTTTGACCCTCGGAATACAAGTCAGAGTACAGTAGAATATTTACTTGGACCCCCCAAACCTCTTTAAGAACTCCTCCTTAAGTTTAGCAACAACAGACGCAGGAAGTGTGCGATGGCCGTGATATTTCCTGTTTGCCCACGCTGCCTCGGGGCCTGTAAGTCCCTGGAAGTATCCGTTGATAAATCGAGCAGCGCGATTGGCATATCTAATCAGCGCATTAGATCCATTTATTGATGGAAGTGAAAATAAACACTCACCGTTTGATTGAAACATCAGGAACATCGTCGAGGCAGGCAAGTACATTCCTCTCCATCTCCTTTATATCAGTTGTCTTGGGGCTATTCCGATACCGAAGCTTTGCTGCCCCCCAATACTGCTCAATGAAATTGAGTTCACAGTGATATTTTGGGTAGAAGTCACAAATGTGACCGTGGGAAGTGATTAACTCTTCAAGGCGAGACTTCTGATTTACGAAATCGGGCTGTGTGAATAGAGCAGTCCGTCTTCCCAGGCTCACACTTGAACCCCTCACACTGCGCGTTGAGCCCCCGCTGTGGCCACAGACTGCGCTCCCGGATAATATTCTCCATCCCTTTAAACCAGCCCGGCATGGTGGGGTGATCATCTGGGTAATAGAAGTCTTGGATAGTGCTGTGCTCACCGAAGCAGGTGGTCCTCATCTTTGGGCCATCTTTGTGATGTGTCCATGTTGCATGGGCATTTTTGGGCATTTTCCGAGCAGAGAGGGCATCCATTGCCCGCTTTTGGTGACTCAGTGCATTGTCAAACAGGAAAAGACCAGTTGCAAAGCCATTGGTGAGTCCCTCAAAAATGTCAATAGCATGATCCACTTGACTGATCAGATCGTCATTGTCGAAGTAACCATCCCGATTCTTCCCCGCTCTGAAGAGGATATGTGCCTCGCTTTTTTCACTCGATGATCAGCCTTGAGTGGTGGATAATCATTTGAATGTTACTCACTCATCTCCGTCTTTTAGCCGCCCCCAATCAGGTGTTAAGAATTCGGACACCATGATCAATGGCCCCTCTCCTTTTCTCTCCGTTGTCGCCTTTTCTTGGAAGTGGGTCCACTTTGTCTTGCGTCTGTCGTTTTCATAGAACGTTGATTCATCGTGTGTGACCAGGATCAAGCGGAAGCGGCCGATTTGAGGGACAGGGAAGCCAGCTGGTTTAGAGAGTACGTTGCCATCATTGTCATAAATAATGAAACACTTCTCATATTCCTGCCAGCGTGACACGAATGCTTTCCGATAAGCAACCACATCCTCCCTTTCATGGCCATCAATGTACATGCCATTCCGTTTGCGGGTATATCGCCAGTTCAGCTTCTTCAACCAGCGTCGAGCCGTTCGAACGGTGATTCCTCGTGCCTTCACCCCAAGCCGCTCCTGGACATCCTTTGTGGCAACGTAGTCAACAATGTCCTGTGCCCGGATGTAGCCATCTTTTGCCTTTTCTGTCAAGTGTAGCTGGATATCCCGGGCAAAGTCTTCATCATCGAGGATTGAGGAGTTGTAGGAGCCATATCGGTGAAGGGGCAGTTTCCCAGATTTCAAAAACTGACAGATCCACTTTCGTAGGTTGCGTGCGTGATTGGGTCCTCGTCCTGCAGCTTTTGCTGCAATCAGGGAAGCCTCCCGCCATGTATATGAGAGCTGTGAATCGAGATAAAGATTCAATGTCGCAACCATCCCTGTAATTCGGCTTCGGAAGAACACATCAAGCTTCTTGTCTTTGCTCTTGACGGTGAGTTTTGCGAGTGCACGACGCAGCATAGGAAAGTCCTTGTAGCATAATCCATTCAACAGGACATCAGTCCTTGTCTCAGGGCTGTCATCCGAAGGGCGACATCCGTTCCGCAACTGCTTCAGGAGCTCTTCGACTTCCTCCTTTGCAGATCTCACTCGTGTGTCACTCTGGGTGCCTGTAGTGTCATGCAACGGCCCCGGGTTCATCTAGTCTTGTTGGTTAGTCCTCGATTAAGCTTTTGACATGCATCTGGACTGACTTCATTGCTCAATTCATCTCTTTCAGGGAAGAGCCGGCCCATGCTTGCCTCAACATCTTCGGTGGGTGGGTCTTCAGGTGATGAGTCTGAGTCTGAACCAGATTCATCCTCGGAGACTGTCTTTTTGGCTACTGTGAACCAGGAATTAATAAATTGTTGTCCAGCTGCTGCTAACTTCTTCCGATTGAAGGCATGGAGCCGCTGGCTTCGTTTCGAGTTCCCAGTGTAGTGCTTTGGGCGGTTGGGCTTATCAGCTGCTGCTTCACGTTCAGCCTTTACAGCAAGAGCTTGAGCTTCACAGAGAACAGCTGCGAACTGATGAATGTCGCTCTCATTCTTCAGCCCCTCTAGTTCTTCCTCATCAACCTCCACCTCCTCCTCATCCTCTGGGTCCCAGTCCGAGTCTGAATCCAAGTCTTCATCCAGGAAGAAGAAGCCTTCTTTGAGGAGTGGCTGCCTGTTGCTGGTAGGGATGTAATCTTCATCTTCTGACTCGCTCACATCTTCTACAGTGGGTTTATAGGACCTTCTAGGGTGGTTGAGGTTCCCAAGACGTGCAGTAGTTGCTTTGGAGTGTCGGCCCATGTCTGAATGTGCAGAGAATGGTTATTTTGTTGCCATTTTGTGGCAGTTTGTGGCCTTTCCTCCTCCCCCTAAGTCATGTGTATGCATTATGTAAGCGGCAAAATCCACCGTGTTCGCATTTTCAAAAAGAATATTGCCTTTACGAAAATGGGTTTTATTGCATTTACTACACTTTTCATGGTCAAATTTTTGGACCCTTATTTCTTGGCCCCAAAGCAAAAATTCAAATTATTTTTTCCAGGGATCTCTTCTTTGGAATGTATTTTACAAGTCTTAGCACTATGATGGGGAATTAATTCAGTGTTGAGGCTGCAATTCGAGGCGACATTGCAAAGGTTTTTGGATTACATAAGCTAGCTGGTTCCTGATGGCCTCTACCTTAGTGTTGCTGCAGTTCAGCCCGGTTCCAGTTAAACCGCAAGCTGAACCACAAATTAACCAGGATTAGCTGACTGGTTTAAACTGGTTTGGAGCCCGCTGAGCTAATAGCTTCAATTCTTTTCCATAATTGGTAGTCCTTCTCATAGAATATCCATTCCCATCCTGTCCTTAAGGCTGTTGGGCAGTCTTCTGTCTTAATGATGCATTGAAGATATATTTCTCTCTATTCAAGTGGTTTGTGAAGCATTTCAAAGGCTGTTACTTTTTCGAGAGCTTGCATTCGCTGTTTAGTGGTACCGGCCCGTGATCAACCGGAAAGTACCGTGCAAAACAACAGTGTTCATTTATTTGGATTGCGGACAATAAGAAGGCAATTTTTTTCAGTTGTAGCATCTCAAATGAATGCCTCCTCTTTAATGAGGCACTTTCTCGACGATAACCATGCTCCTACTGTCAATATGATGGAGTACTGAACGAGGCTTCCAAATATGGACTTTTGATGCGGTTCGTCGCAGTCGAACCAGTTCCAAGCCGCTTGAAACCGCTTAATTACCTAAACTGTCATTAGCAGACCGCAACTAACCATAACCGAACCGCGGCAACACTAGTCCCAAATTCCACGCTTTTATTGTCTTTTCCGGAGCAACAAAAGGACGGGTAAATTTAGTCATTACTAATTACCTCAAAGGTAACAATTTTCGGAAAATTATGACCATGGGAAAGGAAGATTTTATTGTAACTTTATTTGAACTTTATTGACACAGAAAAATCGTGTATATAAAGTTTAACACCCCTATCACGCCTTTTTGACCGCACATAAAGTCGGTTCCCACACCAGTGATACTGATTTGTCTCTTCCTTCAACCTTCCAATTTCTGCTCGTCAGTCCTGTGCTCATCTCAATTGTTCCAGTGCTAGGGAATGGACGGCCAGCATGGCCTGTGTAGTGTTAAACGGGCTTGAGGTCCCTCCTCCATCTTCTCGAACTCGAACGTCATCCCTGCCCTTCAGACTTCTACAACCTCAAGCCTCCCCGCCTCTCAAATCCCTCTTCTAGAGCAAGTCGAAGAGATGCCCCAACCTTGTCCTTATCGCAGTGGGTCTGTACAGTTGTGCGCAAATGTGCCTCAGCTCAGCGATCTGAGGACTCACTAGTTTTCCACTCACCTCATAGGCACCAGCTTCAGTCCAAGGCTAGCAGCACCCTTACTTCCTCGTTTGCAATGGAAGACTTTCACCTGGGTCAAAGCGTCCGCTTCCTCTCTCAGGCGCAATCCTTTGATTCCAGACCTCATCAAATGCGCATTGCGCATAACCTTTCTTTTGGTCGGGGGTCGTTCACCTGAACATATGGAGGCCAACTTCGTGTGCACTCGTTCATAATAGCCAAACAAGTAACGTGCAACCCTACGAGCAAAGTGGGTGCCTTTCTGACTTGTTACCTTGAAGACCATGCTGGGATTGAAGAGCCAAGAAGACCCTCTCACTGTTGGAGATTGTGGCTTGAAACTTAGCAAAGCACCGAGCGTTGACCAGCCTGCCCTGCATAATAAACATGACCTCGATGTTGCTTCGGTACGCGATAAGCGGCGGGCCACAATTTACGAACACGTTACTTCGCGTGGCCGATCTGCCACAATTTTGATTCGATGTTACATATGTCGTGTCTCCTTTTAACAACCTTCACCAAAACAACTTTCATCACCCTCGATTTGAACCAATCTCGAGTGAACCGACTGGAAGCATGGCCGTAACTGAAGCACCAACTACCCCTCCATCTCGGCGCTCGAAAGGTGGCCAGATTCAATTTCTACCGCCGCTATCCCAGCAATTCTTGACGGATCCCAACTTGTCCAATTCCACCTCGGGTCCCAAGCAGGCGTCTGCAGATGAAGATGCTGCTATTGGCAAAGATACTGCGGCAGAGAAGGGAGATGCTGGAAAGTGCCACAGCCCATCGAAGGCAAATCGGGTCATACAGAAGAAGGAACCAGAGTTCTACGAAGTGGATATTGTTCGTCTTGTCGTATCCTATTTCGCTCTATTTTCAGTGAAATAATCGTGTTTTATTAGCGCCCCTGGAGCAAGGAAGAGGTTTACGAAGGTGCTATGTCGGCCTTCGACGACGAAGACTTTGCTAACTACATTTCGGATCATGTGGGTTCGCATTCCATCTTCTCTTTGCGCCGGCCTTTAATGCCGCCACTCTCAGTTCGAAGGCCAGAAGAGTCAAATCCACCCTCCCCAACGATTCGCAATGGCCAGAGCACCGCCCAAGAATGACCGCACCGCAATTTCTTTGCCCTTACTTCATGCCTTGGCATTAGCATTCCCACTGCAGGAACTGACGAGAATGGGATTCATTATCGCCCGGAAGAGAGGAGGAGAACTCGCCATTTTGATGACCGATAGATGCAAGGACGTTATCTACTCTCGAACTATGCACAGGCGCAAGGTGGGTCACCTTACTCGACGTATCGGTCGTCTCACAGTTTTCGCTCAGGGCTACGTTCCATGGAGGCCGCGAACAAACCGGAAGCATGCAGTTAATGACGAGGACCTCGTTCCTGAAACCTCGTCTCCTTTTCCAACGGACAGTGCACAACTGATATATGTCAACGACAAGGCTCTTTCACCCCCACCTTCGCCCATGAAACTCTGCAATGACGAAGATACCGCCCAAGTAAGCCATTAAACCTCTATTACCCGTCAGCGTCTAGAATTAACCGTTACCTCCTCAGTTTGGCTTCAATAAACTGGGTAAAGTAAAGTCCGAGGACGTCGAGATGATGGTTGATGTGGACAAACCTGACTCAGATGAGGACTTCCCTTTCTACGACCGTGTTTTCAATGGAAAAGATACGACGACGGTGGAAGATGATATTCTCGCCTTGATCTGACACTTACAGAGGACGTGTTGAGAGGGGAATTTTGCATCCGTTAATGGTAGCGGTGGATGGAACAAGAAATGCGACGCTGGACTGTTCATATTATGAGTAGGATTTATGTAGCGCAACAACTATGCAGCCTATAGCTATGCTTATGTATCAGGAATAATTTGCCTTTCCATGATAGACTGGTGAGCATTGGTCAGCCAATGAACCTCAATATTACAGTGCGCATCAAATGAGTGGAATTAACAGAGCGTAGATGAGATTGAGATATCAGTACACTGGATGATTTTGCGTCGACGGTAAACATGTTTTGGTAGGAAGCAAAGATTAGTCTATGGGTTGTACCGGAATCGAGCGGATGAGAAAGAGCATTGAATCCAAAACAGTGGATATCGTGGAGGGGCGGGTAATAAGTATGTTGTAAATAGAGGCGGAGAGAGCGTGGATGGTAGGGTATGGGAAGTCAAGGGGTGTTATAATAGCCAAGCCAATGTCGACGACAAACCAAACGCGCGGGAGTCCATAGGGTAAATGAGGAGGTAAAATGGACGGCGAAAGGCAGACGGAGCAGATGAGAAACGAAAGAAAGATGAAACCCAAAGAGTCATAGAAAGTACAAATTATCAGGAAGATGATCCCGAAAAAAGAAAACGAGCAAGAGAAAACGATGAACCAAGTTGGAAAGTTCACTTGAGGTGCACGGAAAAGTTAACGTCATGAGGTCATAGAAGGCAATGGCGGCTGCGCATTCTGGTTCGGATCCTGCGGCGTACCACCCCCACTCGACGTCCTCCCACGTTGACGCCACGCACCAGCAGGACTGAAGCTTTCCCTATCCCTACTCGAGACACCCTGGCCGACACCAATACCTATTGCCGTACCAGAGCTGCTCATGCTCATCAGACTGTCGCGGTCAAGATCGAATACTGGGGAGTCTATGCGATTGCTCTCGCGGAAGGCAGCGCTGATGATCTTGCTCGTTCGCAAGGCCGTACCGACACCCGCCATACTGATGCCGTTCATAACGCCCAGCTCACCCAGTTCATCGTCCTCTTGAACGGTGTTGGCGGATGGGGAGGTTGGGTGGGGAGGTAACCCAGGCTGCGTGGGCGTTGGTGTCTCGGAGAAGTGGCGCGCGCTGTGCGACACATGTGTTGACGGTAGGCTAATTTCCTGTTCTGTCTCTTCGTCGTCAGACTGGACGCGTTTGTGCGCTGTTAGGAGAGGGACATCTATGCTCTGCATTGCCTTGTGCGGACCGCCGGGACGTTCTCCATCATTGTATTGGCGGGAATGAGGGAAGAAGGCGGCTTCTGGAGATGAGGGTGGTGAATGTCGGTCTTGATCTGTCACGAGAGGTATCGCAGCTCCATCCACTGCAGCGACGGGAATGGCTTTCGGTCCAGTCCCAACGAGCGAATCATCGCCCCAAACCAACCCAGTCCTCGGGTCCCAGACCTCCTCATCGCCGTCCTTGGGAGCAGATATTCGCTTCGAATTGCGGAACCCGAATTCCTCATCCGAGTGACCGTCTTCCTTGAGATAACCGTCCTGATCATACCCGTCCTTGCCATTCGCGTAGCCGACACGCGTATTATCGCTGCTCATCGTCGCATCCGACAGAATCCTCTCCTTCCTCAGGTAGTTGTTATACCTGATCTGCCTCAGCTCATCCTCTGTCAACCCGCTCAGCGGGCTGCCCGAACCCATGCCCGAGCTCCGTCGTGCTAGGAGGTACGCTGACTTCCTGTCTATCGTTCCATACTCATCAGCCTCTGGCGGGCCCCGCTGAGCGGCCTGTCGGAATTTCCGGCGCATGAGGAACCAACGGATCGCGAAGAGGATACAGCAAAGAGCAAAGAACGACAGGAGACCGATGAGGACAATGATCCCGATTGATAGGTGCTTGCCGCCAACGGTGACCGTCTTCGTGTTGTTTCCACTTCCGGTGGAAGTGGTAGGCACGCCAGAAGATATAGGTTGGTTGAGCACGCGGACGGTGTTGAACTCGCTCAAGGCACGGGTAGGCTCCGTCAACGATAACAAACCAAGCCGTGGGCGGATCATCTGCACCAGACCGCCGTCCGTGCTGTTGGAGCCGATGGGTGTGAAAGACCCGTCGGCATTGGGCACGGTGTATGCCATGACGGTGTAAACATTGCGCATGAAGGGCACGCCCAGAATCATGTCTCCAATAGAAGAATCGGGACGCGTCAGTTGGGCATCTGCTGCCTGGATGAGGCCTATGCAGAATTGGGCCCTGTTACCCTGCGGAGGTTCGGCAGTGAGGTCAAGGGGGTGTAGAGGTATTTCAGGCCGGTTGTCGATCGTTACGGTCATGTTGAGGGGTGTCGTACATGGAACATAGTCTACAGTCTTGTCAGCGCCAGAATGTTAGAGAATCTAGGGATGCGTACACTGTCCATCACTTGCAGGACTGACTCCAATGGCACCGTAAATTGCGTTCGCAATCGTTGATGTTGTTAAGATCAGGGGCACACCAGAATCCAAGACTGCACTCGGAAAGACTGCACCAGTCGCTGATCGACCGATGGTGACGCTCCTGGCTTCACCGTTCACATATACCGTAATGGCCCTGACGCTGACTTTCCAAAACAGAATGCCTGGCCGGTCGCTGACAAGAGTCGAGTATTCTACCTTGCTGGGATCAGGTACGAGAGCAGCAGGATGTCGGCCGATTCCAAGGACTGATGGTACTTGGTCTGAACCTGGGCGGGATAGGGCAAGGGAGAGGAAACGAGAAGCAGGAGCTTGGTCGGTTGGCGTGATGGAGAAGAGGTTAGACGCCCATGCGGCGCCGTCGGGGTTGTTGTTTGTCACTGGAGGGATGCTCGATGCTATTATGGAGTTCAGAGGGAGGGCCAGACCGAGAATGCCGCTGAAGTTAGGAGCGAGGGGTTCATCCCGGACGTCGTTGGCAGCGGCTGCACGCATGATTCAGTCAGAAATATCGATGACCAACAAGAAATTTTTACGCACAAAGTGCCTGAGTATTAATAGTATAACCCCCAACAGACACTCTATCCCACACGACGGGTCCAGCAGCGAGTCCAGAGAGATACGGGATCGTAAAGTCCACACCAGTTGGTGTAGCGCCAGATGGATCGTACAAGCGCCCTTTCGTCAATCCACAACTTGAAGTAGAACATGATGTCGAGGCAACCCACTGGAAAGAAGGGTCAGACTCTGTCTTTCAGATGAGGAGATGACTAACAAGATCGGACGAGCCAGTGTCCACCTGCAGCGAGAATTGCTGGTTGTTTGCCCCGAATCTCATGGGCAGGGTGTAAGCGCTGGGATCGAGATATCAGAATGCATGGCGACATTAGAGATACATCGACGAGGAAAATTCAAACGAGGGAACAAGCTTGCAAGACGCCTAACGGTAAGACGTCCGGCGCCCGTGCGGGGTGCGATGACCGCTCTTTTGGCAGATAAATGTCCAGCCAGCAGAACCAGCCGAGATCATGGCCTCATGTTAGAGGCATGTCGGGGGTCGAAGGGAAGTGGAAGGTTGCAAAAGTCGAAGAGGGGCAAAGTTCCGTCGAAGTGCGGGGTACCAAGAGAAGGATCAAACGCAAAAGGTAAACTTACACATCGTAGACCCCGCTTCCAACCAGGTCGAGCGGCAGAACGATTCCCTCTGTACCTCCAGAACCCTCATCTCTTGTGTCCAGCGCCCGTGCTTTGCCCTTCCACCGTCGAGAAACAGGCATGGCGGAGCCTTCGATTGTTGAATTTAGAGACTGATGATCTTCGCCTTCTTGGCTGCCGCGCTTGCCACGGGCAGAGAGAGTACCGTTCTTGCGACGACGGTGTTCAACAGCTGTACGCGGAGGAGTGGGGAATCGATCCAGCGGTTCAATTAAATGTCGAGTAAAGGATAGAAAGCGGTGGAAACGGTGAAAGTATGAATTCCCTTCCCCTGTCAATTGAGGTGGTTAAAATAAACCTATCTGTCATGCCGTTGCGAGGACCACGGAAGGCAGAGAACTAGACACACCAGCTGGTCGGCAGAAGCCCAGTTTTTGCGAGAGAAACCGAAATAGAAAGAAAGGAAAGGGGGATATGTGGATATGAAGAAAGCAGGAAAAACGGAAACAAGCAAGCTGGAGGCTCGACGGAGCCGTCCTGACCGTTCCTGAATACACGACTTGGCATCATCCGATGGTAACCAGTCGCTACATTTCCCTTCGAGTGTTCCGTCCACATTCCATCGCGCTTTCTGGCCGCTGCTGTGCACTATAGAACCCTCGGGTTTCTCGCTGTATCTTTGACAGGACTTTGGGTGGCCATCAAAGCCGTCGAGATACCATCGAGGCCGGGAGGCACGTACGTGCCGAAATAGGCAATAATTATGAGGTGCATCAACACATACAAGGGAGCGTCAACAGGATTTGCCTCTTACCGTCATGGCGATAATCACCCTTTGCACCCCAACCCTCCTCAACCTCAAGGTCGACTGAGGACGAAGTTTCATGGCGACGCCTGCAGCCCTGCCTCCGACTGCAGTCGGCGTGAAAACCACTGTTCGAGTGTTTCTGCGTTGACCCTCTGTGGCTCTAGTCAGCGCTGAGATTGGATGAGCCCTTCAAAGGCAAGGAGAATGCACCAGGCAGCCGGCTTCTGTCTGGCAGATGATCTTAAGTTTTCCTCTCTTTCTTCGTGTTTAACTCTTGCTGTGCAGACATTTCGCGCCTAATGAGGCGAGCCTTCAAGATTGCCATAAAATACCTCACCAGCAGTATCAAACTGCCTTAGCCTGCTCTTCGACGCCTGCTGCTCTCGACTTGACCGTTTTGCGCGATATTCTCACTCGCCCAGTTTGGAATCGGTTGGTGGACATCGATCTCACAATAAACTTGGACCAGGACGATTTTTTGGCTCTGATACAGTGCAAGGCTGCCCGGAAGATTACCCTACTGTCTCTGGCACCGAAGGGTGGCACTTCCACAGCTGCCGTTTCAGGAGAAAGCGATGGTGATGCCAAACCTGCGCCTCCTGCGGTTATCCCAGTGGTTCCGATCTGCTCCCTCCTCTCCAACGGTTGGAGACGCGGAGGACATCCAAACTGAGTCTATTTCCGTGATTTGATGTGGGTCATCCTCATGGAAAACGCCAACACCAAGAGCGATAGCGTACGCAACAGCGCAGAGTAGCGCGATGGTCGTCGAGGGATCCATCTGATGATCGTGGGTCTCCAGCGACGCTGGCTGAGGAGGAGTTGGAGCCAGCGCTGGATAAAAACCGTCAAAGGTGGGGAGATTTCTGGTACGAGGACATTGTCCCTAAGTTGCACGTATCCGACTGGTTGTTGAAGCATCAGGAAATGTTCATCAGGACCCTTGTCAGGTAGGGAAAGCTGCCTCGGATATTTTGATTTCGATTTGTTCCAGGGTGCCTCCGTCGCCGTCGACGAGAGATTCGCCTTCGTTGGTGGTCCGTCTGTTCGTTGGCAGTATACTTAACTATGTTGTAGTTCAGTGAAACTGGAATGTGAATTTGCCGTCAAACTAATCTTCTTGTGCGAATCAGTTCCAAAACGGGAAACAACTTCAAAGGATTCAAACTTCAACTTGTCCTTCATCAGTTGCCATTCACCATCCCCCGGCCAGTCACTGCTGCTTCTGCTTTGCCCAACCGTTGACATTCCAAGCCTCTTTCGAAAGTCTATGGAAAGCGATCTTCCAATTTCCGACACCCTCTTCCTGAATCCTGACATGTCCAACCGAACCTTCGTACTACGGATGACCATTTGAAGGAACCCGACAGAAAATCGGGATTGTTTTCAGTCCCGTGCCTTCATTTCTGACAGTCAGCATATTTGCTGCTGTCCTGGTGCAGTGTGCCTTGTATTTCACCCAAGCTGACAGCGTCGATGAACTGTGGTATCTTCGCGTAGGACGACTCTGGTCATATAAGGACAAGGAACGATCGCCTTTTTTCATTTCCAACCGTCCAACCCTACTTATTTCAACGGTACCACGTACATCGAACCTTCTCGCCGTCCGAACGCTTAGGTATAAAACCCCTCGATGGATGCCCCAACACCCCATCTTCCTCTGCTTTGACAGTCCTCATCATGGAAACCGTAATCCTCCAGTTCATCGGCAAACAGCTAGGAGCTGCGATAGCCAAAGGTCTGGGCGACGAGATCATGAAGCAAATGGGTCTTGGGAGCGGCGCCGAGGTCACAAGGAAGCTTGATACATTGCTCTCAGAGATCAGGAGCTTGAAGCAGGACGTCGAAGATCTCGACAAAGCGTTCAAGCTATCTACCCGCTATGAGAAGGTTACAGCCGCCCGAAATGCCGTTCTCAACAGCATGGACAACATTCAGACGGCGGTTCAGGTGAGTCTAGGGTGCTTTTCAACATGCCCAAGCCTCTGACGTCCCGTGGGGACAGTTCACGAACCAAAAGCTCCTCGACACTGCCATCGCCGACCTCGCCTCCAAATCCTCCATGCTTGATTTGCTGAATGATATGCATCGTGCACTTGCGGAGGAAGATCTTGTCGGCGTGTCTGGCAACAAGGCGATCCACTGTCTCCTCGAGCGTGCTTGGAAGAAGCTCCAGGACACAGGCAACCTCAAGTATGGTGTTCGCGAATTCAAGAAGGAGTGGGACCAGGTGTGGAATACCTTCGTCCTCATCCAGCGCGTAGGGACCATGCTCTACCTCTTGAACCGCAGCATCCAGCCGAAGCAACCTGGATGGGACAAGGAGGGTGAAATGAAGCACATCGTGGACGAGTGCAACGCTCGGACGGACTCGTGGTGGGGAATGTACACTGCATGGATAGACAAGGCGCGCGCGTACAAGATGCTGTTGGAAGAGGTTGAAAGGCAGACGGATGAGAAGGCACTGACAGTGAATGGCCCCAGAAGGTGGATGCTCCAGACAAATTCGGAGAAGACCTGGGCCGCTGTCACTGATTTGCAATGGTTCCCTACCAGCAAATGCTCTTTCTCCGTCCTCGATCCGGCCCCTATTCAACCAGGTGACTGCAGGCAAGAATGGTCGCTAGCTTTCCAGCCAACCAGCGGCTATTGGAGACTCGAGGGCTTTGATAGCGGTGCGTACGGTCGGCCCTCTTGGGACTACTACGCACCAGATCGCAAGCCCGCCGTTCTCTGCAGCACCCCGAAGAAGGACCACAGAAAAGACCATCCCAACTGGCTCATTCCCGCTGACAAGATTCCGGAAGGATGGTGAGTTCTACTCGCATATCTTCTGTGTTTATGTTCGAAATACTAATCCCATTTGACAGGAGTCGTGAATATCAATTACTTCCGGTCGAGACCACGAACGTCGAGCAAGCACTCCTCATCATCGAGACCAACCGGTCGTGGGACATGTCTCAGAAAGTTTACTCTCGTATTCCTGCCGTTATGCCCTTCAACCTCTCAGATGATACGATCAAGAACCGCATCAACGGTTGGCGCAAGGAGGGCTCCTGCAACTTCATTTGTACCGTCAAGAACATGACTTCGCGATTCGTCCTCATTCCAAACATTGGCCGCCTGGACTGGTCATTTTGGAACAGCTTCTGGTATGAATACGACGCGATCCATGGTAGAACCTGGTCGTCTTTTGGTCCCTGCCTACCTGGAAAGAACACCTATCGGGCCGGGCGAGAGACGGGTATCGCCACAGGCGCCACGTCCCTCATTGCATTCGACGTTCTCGAGACCGACGTTTTCAAAGGCGCCATTCGCTGTTTCTGACGGTTCATCTGACCAGGAGCTTTCCAATATTCTCCACGGCATTAAGAGCTTCCAGCCGAACGGGCAGCTGACTCTTAACTCGAGCAAGGCCCGGTTTGCAGGCACTCTCGTTATGATGGTCCATGTGCCGTTCGCCGGTCCCAACAAGATCAACGCGGTTCAGTTGAGTCCAACGGATAAGTGGGACTTGAACAAGTGTACACATCAGCTGAGCGGGGGATTCAACTACGGGCCTGGTTGGAATATCTTCGTAGGGCCATGGGCAGACTTGAAGGCGACTATGGGGGTAAGCCAAGGCAGTAAGATTGAGGCCGAGATCCACGTCTGAGAAGTAAGTTGCTCAATCGACTCTGCGCAGAACGTACATACATACCACGAAGTCGTGAGATGTAGAACATACACTGACCGACCGAGGCGGAGGAAAATAATTCAGCGCAAGGTTTGAATTGCGATCAGTCAAATGAGCATGTCACTCAGGCGGTGTTCCGAGCTCACAGGCTCTTATTCCTCGTACCGTTACATACCATCTACTTTGGTGGCCAGGAAGCTTCGTCCCGAGAGTCCAGGTATGGCGAAAATGTACTATCAGTCCCGCCGCGGCCAGTGATTGTGATCAAGAGGGTCCTTCCGAAACGCTAGTATACTTCTCGGCCTCTCCTCTGTTCTTTCCTCTGTTGTAGTCCGTGCTGTAATGGTTCGCCGGACTCCTTCACCACTCCCACTATTCGACTTTTTAGACCATTGAGGTTGTCGGTCCTCCACTCTCTTCTCCGAAGCAATGGAGACGAAGGACAAACATTACGAGAAAGTAAAATGTGCGCATCCGATCGGCACAGAAGCATGGGCCTAGTCCTGTGCACGACGGACGGTCACTCGTACTGATAGAGTTGAAAACACCCGACGAGGGCTGCATTGTTGCGTCGCAGAGAAAACATGAGACGCGGTACCTCGGAAAGGTGACCCCCCGGAAGACGTCGCCGTTTGGCTCGCGGACACGAAATCATGTACAAGAAATGTATCGAGAAGATCTCCCGACCGCTCCGGACAAGCCCTCTCGCTGCCAGTATAAATATTCCAGTCGCAGGCCGCTGACTGCAACGGCTGGACCCGTTTTACATCTCTAGAACCTCGACAACCTCTACAACCTCTACATCATGCGCTGGTCGCTTGTCGTATTTACCTGCCTCGTACTCCAGTCGACGCTCACTTTCTTCAGCTTTGCGCTTGCCCTTCCGACCACGAGAAAAGAATCAGACCTCGTCGCCCGTGCCAGGACGGCGAAGTACTCCAGCGCCAAGTACCGAAAGATCGCTGAAGGACACGAAAAAGACTATCATGTCAAGGGCGGCAAACTTGTCATCAAGCCAGCGCCGGCTGTCCGTACGGCGAAAGCTCTTGCTGAGATGCGGAAGAAGGATGCTGGTCCGTCGTTCCCTTATTTTTACTTGCCCATTATTAATATGAACTCGCCTCTGAACTCGCAGACCATATTTTGGAACACCAAGTCCTTAACAAGGCATTAAAAAACCAGGGCAAAAAGTTCAGCGACCTGGCCCCACACACGCAAGAAAAAGTAAAAGGAGTCTTCAACCACGCGAATAACCTTGCCTATGTTCACAAGTCCGTCAACCGCTCAGTATGTGGACCACATCCTTATTCCTGCACGACAAAATGCTTATGCAAGGTCGAATTGAAACAGAAAGCCGGTGTTATCAAAGCGGCACTCAACGGAAATAAGTCCAAATCCAAGAATCCTGCTCGTGACCAATATATCAAGAAGACCTTCCAGCATGCCCAGCAAACTGCCAAAAAGATTGACAAAATATTGAAGACGGTGAGCAGCCTTTAAGATACATTCCTTCAGAATTCTGAAATGGCATCAGGATGGCCACAAAGGAAATGTGCACCGAACACTGAGAATTGCGGCTAAACACGCAGGCATCAAGCGTTGACCCACGAGTCACGAGTTCTTGGCCGTCGGCTAAATGTGCGTGCCACAGTTACTATATATGGCACGGCCTTGACAATGGTGAACTTCCTAAGTTTCCTGATCATCGTGTTATCTTCGATTTTGCAGTACTCAGGTAGATTATATTAGTAAAGGAAATGATGTATTTATCGAGGAATTCACTGGACTAACAACTATCCGCTCTGTGTCGAAGACTCGGAAGGTCCTAACAATATTTTCAGCAATGCAGCTCAGGTTAAGCTCTTTCACGAGATCAAAAAGAATGGGTGATTGAAATGCGATAATCTCGGTCCAGTGCTATTCCACTCTGCTTCGCGTTTGATCCATCGAACCGGTTGACTCCGTGGCGGCCGTGCGAAGACGATCTGTTTAAAATTGCCGCCGGACGCCAGCACGTAGCCATCGACTTCCACTATAGCACAGGCACAATAAGAAGGGCAAGGCGTACATTAAAAAAGATTGATCCAGTCACCAGATTGGTGCGTCCGCGCACGTAGCAAGGTATACTTGCTGGTGACCCCTGCCGCCTCGGGACAGTCTTCGGCATTCTAAGGCAGCCAAAATTAACTACCCAGTCTGCACAATTTAAAGTCTTGGACGACCAAACCAGAGGGCATGGAGGAAATGGTTTCGAAGATAATTTTGTGCAACTTCAGATCCCGGGCTCCGAAATGAAGATCACACATACAGCATTGGGCCCGGACTCGGACTCGAAAGTCGCGTAAAGGGACAGGAATATCGATTGACGATACTTATAAGTATAGGTCGCCCTTCCTATTGAATTCTATTGTGCAATTTGGACGATTTTGTACCCAGGCGGATGCGAATGAGGTCTCGGGGGTCATGAATCGGAAACAGAGCTAGCCAAAGTAAGTATCGCATGCGCGTACTACAGTCTAGGCCGCGCGTTGGCGAGCTATGAATAAGCGGACGCCAACAAATACATGGGGAAGCGTGGAGGTCCAACGTGGTACGCACCGATGGTCGGTGTTGTGATGGTCGGTCGTTGGATGGTCGGCTTGAACTTAAGGCTGACAGACGGTAGCAGAACTTGAGGACGCTCTTTAGACATACGTGATTGGACCAGGGGGCCATGGCGTATGAGCGGCGGCTTGTGAAGACAAGAGACGGATTGGCAAGGCTTGGTGGAAGAGGGAGGTGTGAAAGCTTCATTATTTTCGGGAAGCTCTCTATTCTTAGCGGTTGCCGCATGTGGCTGGGCGTGTTTGTCAGCGGCACGGGAATCAGTTTCGTAAACATAGCCTCTGCCATTGGCCGACTTGGCTTCCACTCTTCCACTTGCTTTTCTCCCTCATCCCCCCTTCAACCGCTAGGATTCAGAACAGAACGACTTACGCCCTTTAATTCCCCTAATTTTGTTTCAAAATGCACCAACTACCTCTCGTTCTGGTTCTGCATCTACTGTCGCTCGTTTCAAACTCTATCTCTGCATACACATGGCCGTCGCCTCAATACGACGCCCTTGAAGCTCTACTCTACGAAGGTCGAAGGTCCGACGGTTCAAGTCTTTCTTCTCTAGTACATCCTTGTCGTAAACGCACGGGAACGCTCGCATCCGTACCCGCTGAATGGCTTCGTTTCGTGAGTGCCATGATCCCCTTTGCTCCACTAGCCTGATATTTGTTCAGGCCTTCCACGACATGGCGACACATAATATTGACGATGGGACTGGTGGACTGGATGGCTCGATTGTCTATGAGCTTGGCCGTCCTGAAGTGCGTTGACTTGCCTTGTAATCTTATTCGCGGTCTGATTGGCCACCGCACGTCCAGAACTTTGGTCTCGGCTTCAACCAGACACTCGGTGATTTCGAGGCGTTCCCCAACAAGGTCGTCTCTCGTGCGTCCACAGCCTAAATCATCCTCCACTTTTCTTGCCCGCTTATCCATCTTTCTTCGTGCTTAGGAGCCGATGTAATCGCCATTGGAGCTATCATGTCCGTCGCCACTTGCGGTGGACCCATCATCCCATTCCGTGGTGGACGAATCGACACTTGGACTGGAGGTCCCAATGGCGCTCCCGAACCACAACACGATCTTGCTACCCTCACTGAAAGTTTCAGAAAGCAAGGCTTCAACCAGGCTGAGATGATCAAGCTCGTTGCATGCGGTCACACTATGGGTGGCGTGCGGAGCGCAGATTTTCCCGACCTAGTTCCTCCCAACCCGAACTCCGTTAACCCTGTCATCGTTGATTTTGACACCACTATGGCGTTCGACAACGATGTGTGAGTTCCGCCATTGCTATTTTTTTGGGTTACTTTCTAATTTCTTGTCACTCTTGGCCAGTGTTACAGAATACTTGGATGGAACAACACAAAACGTCCTTGTCACCACCCCGAACAGGACTATGGCTTCCGACCTCCGTGTCTTCGAAGCTGATGGGAACAGCACCATGCGCAGGTAAATTCTGTTTGGCTACAATGTTAGGCGGGCGGTATTGATTTTGTTTACCCAGCCTCGCCGATGCTAATGCGTTCCAGTCTGAGTGCCGGGACATCCTGACCCGCATGCTCGACACGGTACCCAGGGACGTTACTCTGACCGATGAAATCACTCTCCTCCCAGCCAAGGTTACCGCCGCACAACTTACTTTCGAGAAGGAACAGCTTGTATTCAAGTCTTCCTTCCGCGTATGTCTTTCCTCCCTGCTTCTTGGGACCTAAGACTGACCATTCTTGGCGTTTCATAACACATAGTTAATTCAAGCCATTAACGCCACCGCCAACACCAGGCGCACAGTGACGATGCTTTGGTGCGACCGTTACGGTGATAGCAAGGATTGCGCCGGAGAGACGAGCACAGCTCTCCCCGTCAGCACACTCGCGGACGACCCTAATGTCTCTCCCATCACCATGAAGCTCGGGTACTACTTCCTCAACTACCACTTCGTCGTTCCCATTGACTCGACCGCATCCATCTCCAAGTTCTGGTTCCGCGTCGATGAGAACGATGGTTCGAGCCCGACCATATACAACAACGGCGAGACCAGCGGCAGTGGTAATGGCTACCCCGTCGACCAGGATCAGGTGCTACTCGCCCCGATGATGAGTCACGTCGACGTCGTCTCAAACGGGAGCTATACCAAGACGTACACAAATCGCAACGGCGAGTCGTTCACGCGACTGTACACCCTCGTCGCGGCCGTCCGAGACGGCGTCAACCCGTCACGCGTGTATGTCGATGCCACCGACGTCGCCATTCGCGATTTCCCCTTCGCCATCAACGCCCAGGTCGACCTCAAGCAGAACGATACTGCTCACGCACCCTTGGCCGGGTATACGTTCTACACCGGCGTCGTTGAGGATATTGGCTTGCAGTTGTCCGTTGACCTCCACGCTGTCGCCTCGGAGCAAACATATACGCAGTCATTCATGCAGACTCTGCTGCTCGATAACACACCGTACGTCGCCCCTAGCGGTGTGAACACAACCGCGTCAACGGGAGGAGCACTGTCAACAATCGCCCCTGCTCTGGGTGGTTCGTGGCGGTCACTGCTACCATTAGTTGTTGGAGCTCTGCTGGGCATGGCTCTGTGACATTAGTTTCGTGATGATACCTGTTATGAGACTGTTGACAATCTCTCAGGGATGGAAAAATCGGACCATTGGACACTATTCGTATTATATAGCTAACTGTTATCGTCGTCCCAACCCTTCGTAACGCGTACTTCTGGCGCTGGAGCACCTGCACGTCTTCATCTCGGACTTGGATATACACACCTGTATCAGGTGTTAATATTATTACCTGGATCTTTACATCGAGTACTATAGGTATCACGACGTTATAGGATGAGAAGGATTCAATCTCGTGTTGTACCCCAAACCATTGTTCGGCTTCTTAGCGCTCCAGTGCTTCTAGCGTTCCAAGGCCGATGACAAGTCTTGTAGATGGGCCCAAGACTGCCATGATTTTCAGGGAAAGCGGGCCAACCCCGGGATGGGCATTTCCAGAGATGAATTTGTGCCGTGATGATGTGCTGAGCTTATGAGGATGACCCAAGATGAGGGATATATCTCGTCCACTCCGCTTCCAGAGAGGGCGGCAAACTTCGTAGGCTAGTAAACGAGAGAACCAGTAAGATACCATTCGCAACGACATACACGACAAACCCAAAACCCGCAGCCCACTTCGCCATCGTGTCGATATTCGGCCGTTTGTCGTATGTGCCGATGAACGGAATCAGAATAAAAAGGTACACTGGCACACCTAAGAGGGCTATTGAAGCAACCCGCCATAAGACACGTTCAGCAGTGAAGGGGAAGGGGAACGCCCACGCGGTACAGTGGACGGCACCATAGCAGATCCCGACGAGCACCATCTTGCTGACCGCTTTGGCTGCAAAAATGCTCGCTGAGACCCTGCAGGCGTAGAAGGTTGGCACACGATTGTAGGCCGCTTCGACGGTGAGTTGGGTGGCCATGTCAGCGAAAGGGTTGTCGAGAAGGCTGATAGAGTGGTAGGCGGTAGAGTGTACCGAGGACTCTGGATGGACGATGAAGAAGGGTCCAAAGGTTTGGCTGCTGAAGGCTTCTTGTTCACTGAATGAGATTGGATGGATTTGCGCTGGAATCTTCGAGTTCACTTGGTTGACAGGTAGCCTTTCTTCTTGAATCGGCAAGCTTTCTGTTTCCAAGATTGGCCGGTTCTGACGAGCCGGACTGGGTGGCTGGAAGGTGCTGGTAAAATACAGTATGGATATTTCCATTAACTTCTTCAGCAGAATTTACAAAGTCACCGACTGTTGCACAAGTGCTTTGCCAGCAGAATTGCTTCAACGGATCGCCGCTTTTCATCTAACACTGATGATTCCGGCTTCAGATAAACGCTATACGCATGCTGAACGTCGAGTGGCTTTTACCACCAGAGGTGATATATGAGGCCGTCTAACGCAAAGCCGACGGGAATGATTTCGAGTTCTGTAGCATCCAACCCTTGGGCACCACGAGCAACGCACTGGATGATGAAACACCCGGTGTGTAGGACGGCAATTCCTTTCGCGAACATGTTGCCCTTGCTCTTATCCTCTATGTCCTCTTCTGACATTGTTGGAAAGTCTATTCGGCCTTCTTCGAGGAGTTCTTGGAAATGCTCGAACCAGAGGTAACACGTCCTATCGGGCCTGTGGAGACGGAAGCCATCCATCTCATGAATCATGATCCAGCCTATTGAGAAAATAGTTTGTGGGCTGGCTATGGACGGTGAACCAAAACACACCTCCGTCCTGATACGTCTCTGCTATCTCTTTCGCTGCTCCTCACTGTCCCAGTGCCCAATAAATAACCGTGTCGTACACGACGGCTCGTGTCGTCACAATCCGTCATCCTTCCTTCGGTGCTGTACGTTCGGATGGACTGGAACCCAGAAACCTACAAAGATGGTGGAGCCCCATATTACATCCCACGTGGAACGTTTGTCCGGGCTGTTGGGGTGGCAGCATCTTTGATAACTTCCCTGAGGAAGTCATATTGAACTGGAACGGCAGATTCTGAGGACAAGAGTATGTGCGTCAGCGCCAGCAAAACTGGAAGCAAAAACATGGAAAAGCCAGTGTAGGACAGACGAGGTGCCGTTGACCAGGTGCTCCCTACGAATATGGTGCACCCCTTCGCTGAGGATCGACGACGAAATGTTGATGTTTGACATCGTGGTAGGAAGAAACGGGGAAAGGGAAATTCCGCATGTCGAAGTAATTCGGACACTCCGATTCGTTCGGCCTTGCAGCTTTCATACGACTACTGCATAAGTACTGTCTACATGCTACCAGATATCTTCTTCGTCATTATCCCATGGCCTATCCAAGCGATGCGAAGGTCGGTACTTGAAATGCGGACAATCACTAGACTGCTTGGCTTTCATGAGGTGTTTCTCCAAAACATACCCGACGGCGCCCTCCTCGTCACAGCGCCTGCGCTCTCTTCGGAATTCATCGTCCGTCTCGTCTTTCCTTTGCGTACGAGCGATCCCGAAGTCGATCATTACGGTCTTGAACCGCTGTGTTGAGCACTCCGGCTGATCTTCAGAGTCTGCGTCGTCCTGCTCCCCATCCTCTTCTCTGCTGGTGGGCACAACCAAGATATTGTCCAACCGCACGTCGTCGTTTAGAATGCCATAGTCGCCCACAATTTGCACGACCTTCACTGCCGCCTCGCCGACTTCCTGCCATTGCGTCTGGTCAGGTATCCGCTCAGGAATATCCCTCAACGAGAATGACGGGTCGATGTATTGCATCAACACACCTCGCACCTCCAGTTTCCCAAGACTCCTCCTGCCGACCTCCCGCAAGTAAACGGTCCCATAGATGAACGGCACGTCTTGGCCTTGCAGTTTCCGGAGCTCCCTGTAGATCGCAACTTCAGTCCGGTACAGTTTCTGTACGACCTGCTCCATGTAGGCTTCGCGGTGGCCCGAAGACCAACGTTCACTTGAAACCTGCTTCTTCCTTGCCATGTTTGTCGATTTCTTTCGTTTGGACTTCGAGTTGGAGCCCTCGTCACTGCTGCAATACCTCCACGAATCATCCTCATCGTTAGCGGAACACGCAAAGCGCACGTCCTCCGGTATTGCCATGAACTTTCGATGCTTCCTTTCTATCTGAGGCGTCCATATCGCCGCGTCGTAATCTTCGCGCAGCCCAGCGGAAAAGCGTCGATCGTACAGCTTTAGAACAGCCTTGGACGTCAAGGGAAGTGGTGTCGATGTGACTGGCGATAACGTGGGGAGTCGATAGCCATCGGAGACGTCGACAAGGAGAACGCAGGAAAGTGTGGTCGAGAGTGTTTGGACGACAGCCAAAGAAATCGGGATTGGACTTCGCTCTGGTAAATCTTCGGCCTCGTGCGTGGGATCATCCGTATCACTTTCCACGCTAGTTGCGTTCTCGACGTAGAGGTCGGCGTGAATGACAACTCCTGGATGGTATGGATAGTGCTCTTGCTCGACTGCACTAGCAACCTTGTCGCTTTTTACCATCTAGTGTATAGGGTTGCGGGTATAAAGAATGAACAGTTGAGAGTTTTTAAAGGAAGACATACCTCCGTGCCTGGCAGCAGACGCGTGCTCGGTGGTATCGGTGGACTCAGCGACAGAATTGCATGGGGGTGAAACGAACAATGAAGTTGGAACGCTGACGCGCACAAAGCGGCGTAATGAAGTCGTAAAAATCGTGATCGTGATTGTCATTAAGATAAAGCAATAAAATCTGATAAGAATAGGTGAAGATATAGTGATAGTACTTGAAAGGTTATTTAACACAACGAACGTCCCAGGTGAATGTCCATGGTTGCAGTGTATATGCCGAGGTGGAAGGGTATCCAAGCCAGGATTAAGGAAAGGGTAGGAAGAAAAACCGGAGGATGTCCAATGAAATGATGCTACTTGGGGCAGGGTCTAGGTTCTTGTCCGTGGAGACTGCTTGCTCGCAGAAAGGTCCTGGACGTCGAAGAACGTCGTCACACAGAATGCAACAGCAAGCAGACATGCACACGCCGTGGACACATTATACGCAGTACACCTTCAAACCCAAATTCAGGTTAAATTCCTAGAAAAAAAAACTGGAAGCACTTACCACCCTTCATACCCACCGCTAGGACACCGCTTTCCCGTCATGATGAACACAAACGCCGCACCCCACAGCACTATACCCGCGACGTCGACCATCGCAACCTTCTTCGCCCATGCCCTCGCCGCCCGCCACTCCTCTTCCATCGCTAAGCCCTCAAACACCCCTCTCCTGCGCCTCCTCGCCCTTCTCGCCTTATCCTTCCTTCGCGAATCATACCCACCCGGCATCGACCCGTCCATGCTATCATACCCATCCTCTTCTTCTTCCTCCGATTCTGAAGCCTCAGGCGGGTGGAACGCGTTCGGGTCGACGATGAGGTTCACTTGGACGTCGCCCGACCCAGCACCAGGACCGTACTTCTTGTGCTTCTTGCCCTTCGGCTTCTTGTTCTTCTTCCCGCCTGCTGCGTTGCCGACGGGGAGAACCATCATGCCCATGTTGGCTGCGGCACCAAGAGGGTGCTTCGAACGCTTTTTGGAGCGGACACAACAACAGGGGCGGATGCAGAACATGTATAGGAGGAGGAGCAGGGTGATCGAGGAGAGAACGTAGAGAACGAAGACAGGGGGCTTGTTCGCGGGTGGTGGTAGGTCTGCTGGATCTTTGGCCTTGATTGCCTAGAGGGACGTGGATCAGAGGAAGAGACGATCTGAGATAGAACAAAACGTACAATAGCAGCATATATGGCAGGTATGCACGCCCCTGCCGCAAAGACAATTTGGAGCAGCCGCAGAGTAATTCGTCTCTTCGGACCAGTAGTGACCAGTTTTCCCTTCTCGTCCACCGTGCCCACGAGTGGCCTGCCATCCTCATCGACCAAGGCTTTGCCATTCCCTTTGCCCTTGTCCTTCCCTTTGCTCCCAAACTCACGTTCCAGCATGCGCATCCTCTCCTCCTTCAGCATAGGATCCAGCGGGGGACCATACTCTGGTGGGTCGTTGCTCCACGGTAGTACATCTCTTGAGTCGTGTCCTATAGAAGATAATGGCGGAGGCAAATCGTATGGGCTGTAAGGATCTGAAGGGTTGTATGAGTTATAGTTGTACGGATCATGCACATAACCGGGGTCAAATGGTGACTTCTTCTTGCCTGAGTCGAGGTGGGACGTTGGGAGTTGGGTGTAGATGTCGGCGATCTTGGGCAGGCGCGGAGCTATTGGAGTTGTACCATCCCCTCGACCACTTAGGAAAGTTGGATATGTCAATCTCATCGTCGGGGCGGACGTCCGGGTCAACGATGTATGGCCCTCCTCGACTGTTGTCGAGCCTCTGTCGAGAGGAAGTGCCTTGCAACGAGGGATGGGGTGTTGCCGGTAGGGAAAATGGCCGCCTGCCTCCGTGACGATTCCTAGAGGGTGATGAAGATGAAGAGGTGTGATGCGTTGTGTTGGAAGAAAGGGTCGGACCACGAGAGATAAGTGAAGGAGGGTCTCCTGATCCTCGGCTGGTCCTACCGACCAGAGGCAGAGCGGGGAAGGATGATGGTGGATAATGGACTTGCGGGCGTATCGCTGAGGGGAATGGAGGATATGGATCTTCGGCCTGACGTGTTCTCAGCGTCCGGGCGTAGTCCGCTAAATCCAGAGCCTCGACGGAGACATCTGAAGCCTCGCGACGCTGTTGACGGTGGGGCGAGGTGCCGTTCGCTTGGGGGTACTTATATTCCTGTTCTTCTTGTCGGCTATAGTTCCCTCTCTGAAGAGCGTTAAAGTGCTGGCTGCTCGACGCTTGAGATTCGTAGGTTTCGGGAGACCATGGACGCCGGAACTGTGAAGGAGGGGGAGGTGCGTCGAGATCAGAATACATGGTGAAAGGTCGTAAAAGTCGTTAGAAGTGGTCGTGACAGTGAATGAAAGGTGGCGCAACGGTTGGTGGATGTCGAGGGCCGCCTGATCGCTGTCGGCCCCGTCGCCCTTGAGAGCGATGCACAGTGGATGAGCTTGCGGAAGCGTGGGAACCTCAGAGACCGCCTTCTTCGTCTCTGACTACCAAATCGGGCGACGTGCGTCATGCACGTTCGAAATCTTCAGCGCTTGATTCTCCAACTTATACGGTGTTCCTAAACCGCAAGCCTGCCCCTTTCGTCTCAGCCTCACTCAAAGCTTGATGGAGGGGGGTCCGAGTGGTCAGGTGCCTCATCGGGCCGGCCTTGCCCACGACGCACAACCTTAGCGCTCGACGTCGCCGACGTCGTGCACAAGGGTAATAGACCATTAGCACATAATCTCTGTAATTATATGTGCTCAATTATACGTGCTAAATGGTAGACAAATATTCAGATTGTGACAGGTTCGAGAAATGAGGTAACAGCCTCCCGAGAGATGGCCAAACCACACACTACAGACGAGAATCTCAAACGAGGTAGCGAACACGAGATTGATTATGGCCTATTGACAAATACAAGGTGTTAAGGGGGCAGCTGCTCGATACCAAATTCTCGTGTTCAAGAGATTCCCCGGAAATTTTTGGTGCTTTTTAAATGGAAAGATGACCATCACTCATACTTATTGAAATATGTTTCGAATAAATATGCTCCCTACGATAAACAGACAGCAGTC